AATTGGTCAATTTCTTACTTCTTAAAGCTTAAATCACCTATTGTGGACCGACACTTAATCGTGCAGATGTGACTTGTTTCGTACTTACCAGATTTGTAAAAATGGCAGCAGCTAAAATTATCTTCGGACATTACATGTAAAAGATTTTTTGCTACTTCTTTCAACAGTTGTCAAATTGTATTTTCTGCCTGAACAGACTTCATTTTACGTGCTTTTTACAACTATTTACAGTTATCAGGAAAGGAAAAAATAACAACCGTCCATTTTCATAAGTGTCTTAAAGTTATATCAAGTTATTTAGTCAAATATCTTTATTTGCAAAATTATCGCAATAAACTTTGTCATTTCTCGCTTATGACGTCACGATTCCAATATGGCCGCAATACAAAAAAGTGTATGTACTTCAAAATAGAGTAATTTTATGATAGTGATCGTAAATTATTTTAATTAACATAAAGTATAATAAAATATTAATACAATAAAATTTCTTATATTTTTAATAAAAATAATGTTGGTTATATAATGAAAAATGACAGAGATTATAAAAAGCATGTACAAAAAATTATAATTATGTACAGAAATAATAAAACGTATTATTCTTAAAGACAGGGCAACACATTGAATGTCCAGTTACTGTGCCAGTCATTATGATTCTGTTGTGACGTAAACATGTTTCCTTGAAATTTTTCACGTAATTGTTGTTGTGTCTTGTTATCAGGGAAATCTTGAAACCACATCTTCAGTTGCTCGGCTAGTTCTTTCTCATCCGCAAATACCAAACTGTTCTCATTGTGCCTTACCAATTCTGATAAGCTAAATAAGATATTGGAATTAATAATCGGACTGATTTGAATGTTATATTAAATTTATCAATATACCAATTAAAATTGAATGCGCAAACAGGCAAGCAACAGCCAAACATGTCAACAATTTTCATTGGTAAATCCAGTCCACTGGATGAGGTGTGAAGGCATATACCTAAATCTGCAGTAGCTATTTCAAAAATAAGTGGTATTCAAAACATTTGATCAGTGTTTTTAAAGATTTATATTGTAAAAAATTAATTCAATTAGCGGCAACATGTAAATACCTAATATTTTCTGATAATCTTCATTTTCAAGCCATGGCATCTTTATTTCGACATGTTTCCATTTTTTTAAATTAATAATAGCCATGTAGAAGTCTTTTAATGGTCCTTTTCCCGTTATCACACAGATCAAATCTGGCAAGTTTGATTCATTACTTTCACATGTATCTTCATATTCTATAAAAAATATTACAAATATATAATCTCTTCTAATCATTATAAATAAATACTTGTTAAAAAGTTTTTTATATTATATATAACTTTCTAAAATATATATTATATATATATATATATATATATATATATATATAATAAATTAAGTAAGTTAAAATTAAAGTTAATTAGAAAGTTTAAATATGTTAAAAAGTTTATATATATATTTTTATAAGTATATGTGATAGATTTATATTGATACCTTGTAACGCATTCAACAGGATTGAGAAATCTTCATCCTCGGTCCAACTAGTGCTAGATACAATAAAGCCAGATGTTCTGGGTGAGCAAGATATTTTTATATCATATTTCTCAGCTAATTTGCATAGAAATTCGTTCTTTTCTACCAAAGTCAAGGGATGGAAATTATCTATTGGTCTATCATATAGGACTTTTGCTCTGTGATAAAAAAAAGGCAGTTAAACAAATAATTTTTATATAAAATATGAACAATACTAACTGGATAAACCATTTTTTCTCTAAATCTTCTTTCATTGCTTGGGTCACACACAAATTATTATTTGCTCTATAACCAAATGTTGTCTCGATGCTTTTTGCCAGTCTAACCAAGAAGTGATTCTTTCCTAGGCTCAATGCCATAAGGGAATGTGCATAATTATGCCAATCAATTATAAATCTTGCTTCTATAAGAATACAATAAAACCAACATACTGGAATAGTTGGTATTGCAGGTGGATTCTGCATAATTAGCGAGTCTGATATGTGTTTGTTAAATAATGACCAAAGAAGATCAGCAGTTTGCCAAATTACTTTCACTATATAACATAGAAGACGTGGTAGTTCTGAAATAATAAACAGATTTGTCATTGCTGTAATCATTATAAATAAAAAAAATACAAATAGTTAAAAACATTTTATAAAATAATTATAGAATTATTAGAAAGGCACCTCTCTAATAATTGAGAAGATAAAAAATTTAAACAAAAAGAAATTGTGAAGAACAGTAAGTAAAAGTTGTGAAAAGCTATCAACAATGTTGTCTGATTCGTACTGTTTTGCAATTCCGGAGGCGGTCGCAGATAATGTATTTGCACGTGCATGTTTTCGAGAATCTCCTTCATCGGTGGTGATCCAGGATAACCTATGAGATCTACGATGAAGCCTTCCCGTGCGAGAGAAATCGCGTGATATTGCATCCGTGGGCTTCTGCCAATATCGCCAAGCACCAGAACGCAAACATTTCTACCAGATTTGAGCTTCTTCAGGTAGAATTTACGCACGACGAGAACGATCACCACAACCAGCAAGAATATCAACATCAACATTTTTAGTAGAACGAACAACTGGTTTGTGTAAACAATGGATCGGCCGAAAGATCGCGATCGTGATCAATAAAAAAAATCGCAAATCTGTATGATTTTAAATAAAAGATAGATTTAAATAAAATAAATCATAATTCGATAAATGTTAAGTTTACAGTCCTCACCTCCAATTTCGATAAAAATATTCGCGTTATTGCACAAAACAAAAAATTTGGCAGAAAAATGTATTGATCTGTCCCGTAAACCAAATATATTAATCGTTAAATTTTTCTTTTTTTTTTATTTCCCTCCAGATGGAGAGTGCTGGAATTCTATTTCAGCTATGTGCCTTCAACTTCTCCCGAGTTATATGACTAGAAAATCATTAAAGTTTGCACTATTGAGGGTTAGAAAATCTGTCATATCGATTTTAAGAGTGCGTTCCTTTATTCACTCCGAGTATTATCAATACTACAAATAGCGTTCCGATATAGAGAGCAGTGCATTACGAAAGTACTGTCTTGAATTCTATGACGTCATTGATTTTGACATATTTCCTGTTGCGATTACTGCAATTAGCGAGGTAAAGCAGTCAGGGGGTCATGTAACTTTTCCCCTAGGGCGGAAACGTGAAAAGTTTGACGATGAAAAGTTTTACGTGAACTTACGATCATGTACGATTTTGCAGAATCATGTAACTCTCTCAAACGTGAAAATGTGAAATTTTTCACGTAAACTTTTTCGCCATGTACCTTGGTGGCGGAAAGGCGAAAATCTAGGGAATTAATAAATATGCTTCGAAATTAGAAAAGATTAGGGCTGCGTTAGGATTAAGTGTACGTAGTACATATACAATTGGTTATTAAAAGATGTATATAATACTGTACCAATAAAATAATTTTCATTAGCTATAAAACCTATGAAACTATGTTTCATGATTTCACTTTCCACGCATCCAAGCTATATACATAATCGCTGTACGTGAAAAGTTTCACATGAAATGTCAAGGTGTAAAAAATGAAAAGTAAAAAGTGAAAAATGAAAAATTTCACGTAAAGTTACATGATTGACTCCCAGGGATGCTTTTTCACACATGCATATTTAGATGCAGATTCAATGAAGTATCATATTTAGAAGAGAAAGGTACATTTGATCTACTGAAATTTTTTATATTATATAAAATTATATAAAATTGTAAAAATTGTATAAAAATTATTTAATTATATAGAATTTTAAGTATAATTAATGTTAATAATTTACAATAACATTAATTCTTTAACAAAGTTATATTTTTATAATTGTAAAGAAAGAAAGTGTATAATAAAACACATTTATGTGTTTAAAATAAAATATTAAGGCAGAATTAAGAAGAATACCAACATTTGTTGCATATATCATCCTAGCGTGGAGCTCGCAAAATTTTAACGCCTATTAGTGTCGGTCCACAATAGGTGATTTAAGCTTTAAGAAGTAAGAAATTGACCAATCATAGTCGATTATTCTTTTCATATTCGATTATAATTGGTCAATTTCTTACTTCTTAAAGCTTAAATCATCTATTGTGGACCGACACTTATATACGTATGTTAAGCCTAGTTTACATAACATTAATGACATAACATAAGGCTGTAAGGCATGGTTGTAAAGCCTTGTGTCCACGATACTAGAAATTGATCCGAGATCTCGGATGAAGAAAAAAATTGACCAATCATATTGATCAATTGGCGGAAATAGTTACTGCAATAGTTGGTCAATTTTTTTCTCTGTCCGAGATCGATTTCTAGCATCGTGGACATAAGGCCTAAGAACTTATTTAAATGAATTATTTTCATTTCTTATGCTTAACAACCTTACGTCACAGTATATACAGTACAATTATTCTTGGTTGTTAAGCATAAAGAATGAAAATAATTTATTTAAATAGATTCTTATGCTTTGTGTCCACGATGTTAGAAATCGGTCCAAGATTTCGGATGGGGGAGAATTGATCAATTGCGTTTTGAATAAATTCGGGCCAATTAATCAATGCGATTGGTCAATTCTCTTTCCATCCGAGATCTCGGATCCGATTTCTAGCATCATGGACACAAAGCATTACAACCATGCCTTACAGCCTTATAGCCTTATGTTATGTCATTGTAGACTAGGCTTTATAGCCCTAGATTTACTCTTGGTCATACGTATGCGCGAGAAAGCGTTCCTAATAGCAGCACTGGTATTACATCGTTCGATCACACATACCGCGGTTCAGGACAACAGGACAACAGGACATATCAAAAAGGCGGGAAGTCGAAGTTCTCGGACCGTTGAGTGGTTCGGATGTCTTTTGTCTTCACATAAATTTTTTTTTTATATGTCATCACGCTTTTTCTTCGATTTTTGCTCACACACTTGTCATTGTTCTCTCAAATCATATTTTTTTAATTGAATCGTGGCCTGTATTGGCGCCGTATGGCAGCTTCGGCCAAAAATAAGAAATAAGAAAAATAAGGCGGGAAGTGATTGCGAACATGTGTGAAAGTGCTGTTGTAGGTCATAGCATCACCGATCGGTGACGTAAATATTTCGAGTGGTGAAAGGTAAATTTCATTACTTTAGTCATTTTATGTCATAAATTTAGTCTGATTCGCGCTATGCATGCTTGGTATGATACCATTATCAATTCAGGTGCATTGAAATTTGATTCCGACGTCCATTGGTTTTTCGTCATTGAGGCATTTCATTGTTTCTTTTCCGGTGGAATTAAGTAAAAAAAGGAAGAAAAACGAGGTAAAGGATGATACTGCGTTCCTAACCAGGAAATCAGAATCCGCGAATGAAGATAGGACGAAATATTACTGAAGTATGAAAGACATTAAGCAGTACTTCACCAATGATAGGAAGATTGTTGACAAGGAGACTGCTATTGATCCTGGCAACATCATAGAACAGGAGGAAGAGGAGCAAGAGCAGGAGATCATCGCGACAGGTAAACGCAAACGCGTGAAGATCCGAATATCACGCAGCGATTCCAGGAGCAGGATGTGTAACGTGATTGAGAGCAAGAATGATCTAATTGACAAAACACCCAGTCCATACAATGGTGAAGTAAACAGTGGCCAGAAAAAAGATTTGCGAAATGAAACGCCAAAATCAGGCTTGATTGATTCAAATATAAAGCAGTGTTTTAAGAAGGTAATATCTAGAGTTTAATAATATATAATTGATTTTGGTTGTTGATAAATATCTAATTAGGTTTTCTTATTTTTTAAGGACTTAAAGTCTGTGGAAATGTATGGAAATCAGTCTGAATCTGAAAAGACAAATATCTTGCAAGAAAAAAAATTTAATAAACAGATTGTAGATAATTTTAATAAAAGTGTAATTGAGATTAACGAATCAAATATAGAATTTCATGATGAGATTGGTTCTCAGCAGGAAGAATCAAACGCTTTTCAAGTTTTGATGAATCATAGTAAACCAATACAATATAAACTGTTACCACAGCAGCCAGTTGAAGACATTGAGAGCAAAGATAAATTAGATGATGCAAAAGAATTAAAATCTAAACGAAAAGAGAAACTAATAGCTTTAGCTGATAAAAAGGGATATACAAAAAGAAAAATGATGGAGATAGAAGAAAACGAGAGAATAGAAAAGAATATTGAAAGTCGCATAAGATTCCTTAAAGGTGACAATAAAAGCAACATTATACATAAAAAAGATAATAACATTGAACTAAAAAATAACAAACAACTATCAGGAAACTTACTAGATTATTTCAGGTAATATATTGAGTATTTTTAAATTATTATTTATATAAAATTATAAATTTTATATAAATAATAATTTATATAAAATTAAATTTGACAGTCTTGTTATCTGTAGAGTAATTATAAATTTTTATTATGCAGCAAATCATCTCAGGAAATAACAAATAAGAATGAAAAATCTGTGTCTACTTTTATTGTAAAAGCAGATGTACATAGGAACGACAATTCTGACATCGAACCTATAATGAAGCCAATATCAAATAAGATATATTCTAACAAAAAATGTTTAAAATCAGAATTAGAGCTTTCTATGAATGATATCCACATTGTAGCATCTGAAAATTTATTTTCACCACAAGCTGTCAAACTGGATAAGCAAAAGCGAGAGAAACCTCGTTGGGCTTTACGCATAAAACTACATTCTTCCGAACAAAACGATTCTTTAAATGGTAGTATAATAAAAAATGTATTTAAAAAAAACATATCTTATATATATGATGTAAAACGCGATTAGAGCCTCCCAATATATATTGGTCGACGGCAATGATTGTTTTTTCACACTTTGATCGCTGATATTGATAATTTTTCAGTAAATATCTATTTTAATAATGCTATATAGAATTAATTATAATTTTATTTTCAGATACCGATGATGAATTGTTTTCATCAAGTAAATCAAAATTTAATGGCATGAATAAATCTCGAAATTCTTTAAATACAGAAAATAATAAAGTTTACTTAAAGAATTGTGATCGGCATTCTAAGAAAGTACAGAATAAAGAGAAAAAAGAACCGATCGTAAATAGTAATATATCATATATTGTCAGAGACGTCTCTAGTGATAATAATGAAGATACTAATTTATGTTTAAAAAAATCGAATAAAAGTGATAAAAAGGAAGAAAAGATTAACGATATGAGTGAAATGGTTATAACGGTGATTGATGATTCCGAATGCGAAATTATTAATGAGAGTAGTTTGAAAAGAAAACCAAATGAAAAGCTAGCGCCTTTATTTGTTAAACGACGTAAAACTGATCCGATTTTTACGACAACTAGGCGCTTGTTTTTACAATCGGATATAATTGATATAGAGAATAAAAATATTGATCATAAAGCGAACAACGATTTACCCATATTACCGTTTCCTGCAATCAGTCATGTTACACAATTAGGAGATACTTCGGACTCGATTAAATTCGAAATCAAACATAAGTTTCCAATGAAAATCGAGAAAAAATATCTGCCTTCAATAGATATTAATAATTATAAGCATATTACTAGTTATAAAGAAGCATCAACAGTGATTGAAGCAATTAACAAACCTGTAAAGAAAAATATTGAACAAGCTTTGATAGAAATTGAGCAACTTTATCCAGATGTACAAAATATGTGGAAAACTATATCAACGATTAAAGGCGACTTTGAGAAGAAAGCGCTGTCTCGGAGAGGCAGAAAGTCGAAAGTGTTCGAGCGAAAAAAAATGTTAACGGAGAACGTCAAGAATGAAGATAATCAATCGCGTAATTGCATGTGGACGTATAAATATAAACCAAGAAGTGTCCAGGAAGTTGTTGGAAACGAAGAAGCCGCGAATAAGCTCAAGGATTGGTTGAGCAGTTGGAGATTGTCTTTAACGAAAGAGAACGATGGAAGCAGTGGTGATGAATTTTATTCCTCGGATTGCAGTTCTTCGTGCAATAATGAAAATAATCAAATAGCTGTATTATTAGGACCACATGGCAGCGGAAAGAGTGCGAGCGTGTACGCGATAGCAAACGAACTTGGTTACAGGTTGGTAGTCGTGACTCAATGTGTGTGAATGTATTGTATTTAGAATAATTTTTAAATTTGTATTAAAATTCATTTTATTCCAAGTAAGTTATAGTCTCATTTTTACAGTGTGCTCGAGGTGAATGCATCTTCCAGACGGACTGGAAAGAGAATCTTAAAGGAGTTAGAGGAAGCCACAAAATCGCATAGAATTAAAAAAAGTAAGCTCGAGTTTGAGCGAATCATAAGTGAGAATGATGGTACGAAGATATCACAAAATTCATTGATTCTTCTGGAAGACATCGATCTCATCTTTGAAGAAGACGAAGGGTTCGTTTCCGCCGCGTATCAATTAGCATCAAATACGAAACGACCAATTGTCATGACATGTAGAGACATATGTCCTCATTTGAACAAAATGGCACCGCAACAGAATAAAATTTATTTTCAGAAAATTAGTGGAAATAGGATATCCGTCTTGTTAAAATTAATTTCGTTGGCGGAAACAGGTTACAAACTTTCACATAATTGTCTAATGGTAAGTAGTTTTTAAATTGTTATAAAATCACATTATTTATCAATCAAAATGTATCGTATGTAAGATATCTGTAATATTTTTGTGAAAATTTTTAAAATAGAAAAGCTTTTACAAAAAAAGCATCTAGAAATTATCTATAAAGATTGTCAATTGACACTTAAATCTAAATATTTTTTAAATTTATACTAATTATACTATGCTGTATTTTTCTACTCAGTAAATGAATAATTTTTTTCTATTGTTTAGAAATTATTGCAGGCGGGTGATCTACGACAGGCACTGCTTCAATTACAATACCTGCTATTATCGGGTTCACCAGTATTATCCGAACAATCTACAATCATAAAGCTATCACTTTGGCAAGATATGCAACGTTATTTGTATAAACCTGCGATTAAGCTAAACAAAAAGCACAAAACAAAGAAAAGTATAAATACCAAAAATTCCAATGTCATATGTATATTAAACAAATTAGCAGAAGATTTAGACAATTTAGCTTTAATGTCATCTTTAATTGACATTGAGGACATAACATTAAATATGTCAGAAGAAAATACGCAACCAAGTTTATCTTTAGCTGAAAATATATCTTTTTATTCCGCTTTACGCGAAATAAAGGCAGACATAGCAAATTTTATAAGCGATCGAATACTGTATAAAGATTTTAAGGCGAATGAACAAGTACAGAATCAAAGTAATATTATTCTGAGAAAACAATTGAATCAAGGGGTAGATCTAACACTGTCGCATGTTACATCTACATGTTTAGATCGACAAATTATGGCAATAGATTATCTTCCAATCATGCGAGCGATATGTCGCGCAGAGGAATCTCGCTCCACCATTAATTCTAAGCGAAGCAATCGATTTTTCCATTATTTGCACAATTTGAAAGTGCCGACCGCGTTGATGAAACCGAATATCTTATCCGCCGCGTGCAGAATGTTACAAGAAGAAAATAAAAATGCATCGTAGTGAATGTTACTAGCGACTGATACGTGTTTTTACACGAGAACTATTTATCAGATTTCACAATTGCAGTAAATTAGCGATGTTTTGATATTATTTATGTCAAAGTGAATATGTATATTGTTTTTAATACACATTATAATATATATATATATATATATATATGTATATACATATATCTTAAGCGTTTTCTTTTGCAATGAACTTGCTTTCTTTTTTTAGTAATTGAATTTATTATATTTTAGCACAAGATACATTTTTAAAAAATCGGAAAGATATAAAAAGTTGCGTTTATAATAATTTATTGAAAAGAGGAAACGTATTATGTATTCAATAATTTGATATTTTTTTCATAGATATATTATTCTGTACTTTTGTCACACATTTAATGATAAATACAATTGTTCAATATCATTGTCTAATGTAAAGATTATAAAATACTGAATATCCAGTGTAAATATCAGAGATATTTTGTACATTGTTATTTGCAGATATTGCGCATTATGATATACTGCCAAAGGCGAATTATATACATTATTGCAATCATTAAGAAATATCTAAAAAAGATGATTTAATAGAAATAAATATTTATTTTTGAAAACTTTATTCCTTTTTTCTGCAAACATACTATCAAGATTTAATATAATAATGATGTTTTATATAATAATTGTATAATAATACAAACTGTAAAATTCACAGTTAAATCTTTATGTGATGCAATTTGCGATTCAATTCTTCGAACTTCAAGATTTTTCGAATAAAAAAATCTCCATAACGGTGTGCTACCTTCGTATCAGCGATGTGAATCATGTCGTGATCAATGTAGAAATCCAACTGTAAAGAAGTATTTCTATAAAAATGCTCAGTGTGCATATATATGTATATATTTTATTTATTTATTTTATTCAAAAAGTTAGCAAAGAAATAGAGAAAAATAAATTATGATTACATTTTAATTTGATAATAAGGAAAATATCAAAGATTTGAAATAATTCATTTTCATTGGAGAAAATGATGAAAGTACATGCCATTACAAGAAGTGTAAAATATATAAGGAAGCTAGAGGTTCATGTACATTATATATTTGATAAATGGAATAATACAAATAATAACTACCTCAGAGCCAGATTGAAATTTTCCATCTAATCCTGATGTGCCTTTTGTCCAAACGATGTTTTTCATCTTGTGCTTAAAGCATAATAAATGGATTGTTAATGCATTGACCTCCTTGTCGAGATCCCAGCCTTCAATATCGGATCTAGTATTGTTTCCCATAAATGTGGCTAATTTGCTTAACGGCAATGTCGTATAGAGTTTCAAATATGAACGAATGGTCGGCAACATTTTTTGTTGCACTACTTCGTCCATGAATACTTGGGTTTGATGCTTGATGGCTTCACGGACATAATCTTCATTGGGATTGTCCGGATTTGGTGGTGTCAAAGATAGAAATTTTGGACACGCGAATACGAAGCAATTCTCGAATTCAGTGAGATCACCGTACTGCATCTTATACATTTTTTCATGGTAGTTCTTATCTCGTAGAGCCTGCTGCAAGCCTTCGTCTATGCACTGCGGATGTAGAACTAGGCAGATAGCAAGGAGATGATACATCTGTTCAGTCTGTTTATTAATCTGATCGTTTTGGTAGCTACGCGTAGCGAACAACTGCTTTGTGCGTTGGATATATAACAGGATACCGGAAAATGTTCTGATCGCATCTGCATAACGGCGCATCATCATGTATGCAAAACCCACGTAGTACGCCGTCGATATCTGACAGCCGGGTACATGAGAGTATGCGCTTTTCTTGTAGAGCTCCACATTCTCCAGAACTTTGATGGCCTGGTAATAATCACCTAGCAGAGAATGCAGTCTCAGGAGACCAACAAGCGAGAAATAGCCAAGCATCTTGTACAGGGAATGTCTACCGAAAGCGCCAGCCACAGAATCTGGATCGCCACCGCTCGCGTATACTTCCAATTGGCTCTTTATCTTCGATTTATCGACCAGATAGTGCAAGACATTCAATACACACAGGACATCCCAGATTTTATTATGCGCATTTAGATTTTCGATCTCATCTGGTGTCTTATTGGACAGATTGGCGCGATATTGAGCAAATGATTGGAATTGGTAGACGAACTCGTCGATAAGCTCCCACAGCCATTGATCAGGCAGTTCCAGCTGCACCGGGGTGTCCGGATGTAGAATATAATTAAAAAGATCGCAGTAATTATAAAAAGAGTTAAGACGCTGCTCCAATGTCGGGCCTTGCATACGCGCGTAGATATGCCGATAATAAAGTTCCTTATAGAGAGTGAGAAACACTGCATCATTGTCAACGATATGGGCAATCGTCGAGGCGTCCGGCCATGGCGACTTGTCGAACAGCTGCTCCGATATTTTGGGAAATGAATTCTCGTACAGATTCTGAATCTCGAAAATCATACCTTCGTTGATGCAATTGCGCAGGAATACTAAGAAATTGCGGACCACCTCGGGCACCTGCCGGTAGCTCGGGCGGTCGTACTGATCATGCACGTCAGGCGGCCCATAATCATCATAGGCGTCATACTAAGGAGAATTATATATAAATTAGAATAACTCGAGTTTACGAATATCGAGGTTTAATCAAATAAAAAATGTAAGTAGACGAGCACCTCATTGTAATCGTCATACATCGTATTGGAGAAATGGGATGATCCGAAGAAAATATAACCTCTCGTCGACAAGTACAGCTGGGTTTCACCAAGAGCTGCCAATACCCACGCGGAGCAACACGCAGCAGAACAATGATGGGGGAGGGCGACTGTTGATCACGTTACAATTGAACACAGCCGATGCCTGAAGCCGAAGATTTCCACTGGATCAATCAATCAAA